CTATAATTTATAAGGTATAAAAAAAAAATATTTTTAAACTGTATAAGGTATGGATGGTACAGAATTTTTTGCGATTTATCCGTCGAACATGAAATCCAATAGAAATATTGTCAGTGCTATTTCATTCGTAAAAATATGATCAGCAATACAATTAAATTAAAACAGCGTTAATTTATAGAACATGAAGGCAATATACATAATGCGGAAAGCATAATGAATGTTGGAAATAATTCTTGAAATGTAAAGATCGATGAAGAATTCGTAGAATAACCTTCGGCAAAATGAGAACATAAACAAGGAATTAAAGCAATCATCAAATAACCAGAAGGATAAATGAAGTTATTTCGAATGCACGTACGAAGATAAGATCTTAACGTTACTATATTTTGAATTAAATTTAATCCCATTGATACATTGGAAAGAATGAATTTTTACCGTATTTTTATCTATGCGCATCAAAAATTTTATTATTTTACACAGAATTTGCATATAATTTGCTAAGAACTATTAATGTCTCAAGGAGCTATAAACATCGTCAATGGCATAACGTTACATCTACGTCAGACTAATTAATGAAAATTAATTGAATATGAAGTCATGTTAACCATACATAAATAAAATAAAATAAAATTCAATATTCTATTGGATAAACTCTTAGTGAATAATTATGAATAACATAACATTTTCTAGATAACTATCGCGCTAAACAAAATATTCTGCATAAGTTTAAATTGTCTTTTATAAATATTATTAATGCAATAAAACTTGTTAACAAATTGCGGAGCATTAATCGTACTGCAGCATTAATTGATCATTTAGATTTTTTAAATTACTGATTTATAACATTATATTAAAATTTATCTAGAGACGTAAATCAATATAACAAAAACAAAAGTAATGAAAAAAAAAATTATGGAACTTTTAAAAAAACAAATGTTAGATGATACCATCTAAATAATTATAATAATTGTTTAGCTTTCCGTGCTGAAATGTGATTTTGTGCTAATTCCATACTAAATTCTCTTTGGCAAAAATTCCGTTAATATTATAATTGTGGTTGTTACGCTAAAAATGTAAATAAATGAAGAATAAATTAATTACGGAATTACGGTAATTACAGAAATTACGGAAATTACGGAAAAATAAGAATAAATGTAATTAATTAATTTAATGGCGAATTAAACAAAATAACATTTCAAAAAGTAATTTTAATAATTAAGATATGGGTTTTTTATTCTCAAGTTTGCCCAGTTGGTTGTACCATAAAATTTCATTTAATATTCTAAAAAATACAATACATGGAAATTAAAAAATAGATTCAACGTAATTACAAAAAGGAATGAGAGAAAATTTTCTGATATTTTATAGACTGAAAATTTTTACAAATTAATTATAAAGGTAGGAGAACACGTATCAAGTTGATAATCAATAAATATTTATTTTCAATGCTCTATGTCGTCAAATTATGAATAATCGGTTGTATTTATAATTCACATACATCTCCTACACTTCTATATCAATATTTAAAATTATAAAGTCAATTAATTTGAGCGAAAATTTTCCGATATCAACATAATGCATTTCTTGATGAATGTATGCAATGTTAATACACGGATGCAGCATCGATAAAACGATTCAGAATTACTTTCTCGCCTGAATTAGAATTGATAAGAGATAGATTATAGTTAAAAGCGATTACAGCAAATTTTTATACTTGCTCAAAAATAATTTATAAAATATAATTATAATGAAAGAAAAATGGTAAAAAGTGTTATTATATTATTACATAATAGAATAATTTAGTTGGATATTAATAATAATTTAATAATAAAATATATTTTACAACCATAGTAATTGTTAATAGTAAAATTTTAAAGCAAAATCTTTGAAAGATTAATAATATTTATAAAAATTAGTATCCTTAAACATTTTTACCCAATGTAATAATATAAAACATTAATTAAATTCATAAATATAATTGTATTCTATAGAAATGGAATGTATTTTTCTAATATATAAGTTGATACCAAATGAATAATATTTATTGCAGACAAATTCTACAATCATTTTGCCGTAATTTTTAATCGTAGTTTTTTTATAATTCCTTTTTCAAATCACCTCTCACTAATTAATTTGAACGTAGACAAACAGATTTTAATAATTGAGAATCTCATATACTAAAAGACACTAAATGCGAAAAGAATATATTTAGTAAATTTAAAACAAATTTGGTCGTATTAATACTAAAACCATCAATCCCTGTTACGATATTCATACAGATTAGAGAATCATGTAAAACATATAATAGAAAAAAAATATATATATATATATATATATATATATATATATATATATATATATATATATATAAGAAATTTTGGAAATAATAAAATTAAGTAAACTCGGTTTTGAAAAGTGAACGAATTATAACATCTAAGAAAATGAATTATTAAATTTCAAAGTGATTTATTTCAAGTATAGTTATAGAAATAATTAAATAAAGGATATATTTGCTAAAATAACTATGTCAAATTAGCGTGAAGCAGTCAGTTGTAAAATTCAAGATTTCCTTATATTGGAAAATAGTTTTATGTTATAAAAAAAAAACTGTATAATATAATAAAATAATATAATGAATTTATTAAAGAAAAAAAAAGCATATTCAATGTCTACTGATTAAATCTTAGGCTCCTAAATAAGTCATAAGGATAAGATTTTGGTATATTCACAACAATTTAGAGTAAAGAAAATAATGAAAATATTTATGAAATGTTTCATATTAAATTTGGCAGCCATCTAAGAGAGAATAAAGTATTCTACAATCTTAAATCCAACTTAAATAATTTTTAAATACCTGAATAATTTATTGCAGTTCTGATTTTATAAGAGAGAAAGACTGAGCAAATAGAAATGATGAAAAATTTCTCTTTATACATCTGTAACGTATTACGTAATATGGACCGAAGCCGGTAACAAATGAAAAGCTCGTTAGTAAGGTAAGTAGTAAGAAATAGTAAAGTTTCTCAATTGTGGTGTACATTAATAAAGGACTAATATTGAGATTAGGGAATTCCTGGACTGCCCCAGTTGAGTGCAATATCATATAAAATAGGTGCACGTTCATGCAATAAAGTTTGGTTGTATAAGACAAAGAGAGGGAGATATATATATATATATATATATATATATATATA